AGATCACACAGCTAATAAGAAGCAGAAGTTAGATGGGGACCCAGGCAGAGCAGCTGTAGGGAATGACCACTGACCATACTATTTTGGGAGAAAACTAGAGTGGTATGTTTTTCACTTTTGTGACGGTTGTCCACAGCTTTTAGGACATTTTTAATATAGCTGCTTGTTCAATTTTTCTCATCTCCAGGTTGGAAAATTTACGATTTATTTTTTTGCTATTTCTTTCTATCTATATCCCATAATGCAATCTGTAGTTTTTAGTCAAACAGAAATGCTACTTCCTGCAGCTTCCAAAGTAAATAGATTGAGTGTTTATTTGTAGGAGAGTTTATCGTGTCTGCTCAGAAATGATTTGGGAATATGAGTTCTTTATGTGATGCTGAATTGCATGCATTTGAATATTTCAGAACAGTGTTCATGCAGAGCTATAGGGTTTTAAAAGTTTGCAATGGGTGTAAGTGAAGTAAATACTTCTCTTAAGAAAAGTCATGACTAAAAGTAAAAATGCAACATATTTCCGAGAAAAAGAAGTCTTTTCCTCCTGTTGATAGTGGTACTCTGAATTTTTAATCTAGATCTGATTGAAGTTTCAATTCAATACCCCAAACCTGGAGCTCCAGGGAAAATTTCTGATGTTTTAAAAGGTGTTACCTATTAAAAAGGTAACTTGTCTTGGACCAGCACACCCACTTTTATGTGCTAATTAATGAACAATTTATTAAGTAAAGAGCATTGAATCTAGGTAAGATAATTTAAAGTCGTGCAAACTACTGTGATTTCATCTAAATTCAACCAAAATAGGCAGTTTTGCACATAAAAATATGTGACAGCTTTAACTAATAAATACGACCTGTAATCAGTGGATAAAGACAAGTGTTTGAACATTTCCAGTCGTCTTACCCCAGAAGCAGTCCTGGTCTCTTTGTTTTAGGAAAGGTAAACCCAGAACTTACAGCAGAGGTAAAAACAAATGGAATGAGATCATTCTAGTCTGTTTCATTCTTCTATTGTTATTACTTATAGTAATATACAAAAATATATAACCTAGAGGTTTTAAAAATCAGAAAAATATGGGCAAGATAGTAAAGCAGAATACACACAAGTTATTTTTATTTTATTGTTTATGTATGCGTGTGTGTGTATTAGGACTTCTATTTTTATTTGCAGAAAAAGTCTGAAACTCGAAGATGTTAAATGACATTAAAAATCATAGGTTTTCAACTTAAGCCAAAGCTTTTATACTCTGCTACTTCCCAGTCTGAATTCTGAAGCCTGTCCACAATCCTGCCTATGTCCATGTCAGATTTCCTTTCTCTCAGTAGCTGGTGGATTTCTTGAGAGCAGAGACCTGCATATCCAATTTCTGTAGACCTCGTGGCCTTCTGAAGAGTTCCTGATACATCAGTTCATAATCCCTTATCTGTATCCCTGAAAGCAAAACACTTAGACCATATACTGCATTATGTAGCAACTGCACCAGGCTCTGAGGCAGTTTTCCTTAATGGAATATATTAACATTCTTGCAGCATAATATATAAATAACTTTGTTAATCTTGTATTTTCCTGAAGCGATTAACATGTGAATTGCTGTTTTCTGTCTCTTTCCCTCTTTCTCACCCTTCCTTCCTCCTCTCTTTTTCTTAAAAATAATATGTTCAAGGGTCCTGTTTTACACTCTATGCCTAAGTGTCTGAGAGTCTTTCAAATAAAAGGACTTAAGAAAGGAAATGACACAGATTGTCTGCAATGGTGTTCACTATTGTGACTTCTTGGTCCTCATTCTGCCTTAATGTATCAGAATTTCAAATGAATCTTTTTATGAAAAAATAAAGCAAAAATATATGGGTTTACTAAAATGATAACTGTTTTTACCTCTCCTGTCACCATGAGTCCTTTTTCTTTTTAAAATAGTCATTTGTGCATTTATCTCACTGGGAAGTTCTTTAAGGAAAAGCTAGTTCTGATTCATCAGTGTAAACATCAAAATGGCTTGGAATTAGTAGGTACCCAATAAATACTTCTTCGATTAAGTAAACAAACGAAACAAAAACTACTGAAACATTACAGAAGTTATAACATACCTAGATATAAGGTAATATTTCTATTTTGCCATAGATTGCCTATGTGAGTAAGCTGTTGTAGCTATAAACTGTAACACCTGCTGACAGCTTTAAGAAAACAGTTTCTTTCCAGTTAAAACTGACCTCAAAACCTGTGCTTTCTGAGGCAAAGAGGACAGGCTGACATTCTCCGTAAAACTGAGTGCAGAGGTTAGTTGTTGAAAGTCAAATATTTTCCAGAATGTCTTTAAAGCCTGGATATTTATTATTACTGGCTGAATACCCACCTGAATATTCATGAAAAAGACATGGTACACTAAGATAAAAGTATGCAGGTATTTTAAGTTACTGGCAAATGAAATGAACATTTTTGTGTATAAATAAAACAATATGAGCTGGGTGTGGTGGCTTACACCTGTAATCCCAGCACTTGGGAGGCCGAGGTGGGCAGATCGCGAGGTCAGGAGTTCGAGACCAGCCTGGCCAACATAGTGAAACCCCTGTCTCTACTAAAAATATAAAAAAAACTAGCCAGGCATGGTGGCAGGCCCCTGTAATCCCAGCTACTCAGGAGGCTGAGGCAGGAGAATTGCTTGAAGCCTGGGTGACAGAGAGAGACTCTGTCTCAAAAAAAAAAAAAAAAAAAAAAAAAAAAAAAAAGGCAAAATGTACTTTTCAATACTGAATTCTGAGGAAAGATTGCCGAAGGGCAGCGTATTCACTAGAGGAAAGGAAAATAAATTTGGCTTTTATTTTTATTCTGAAATTTGAAGCAGGTTGTCTTTACTGGTTCTCACCCCAAAATAACTTGCATGATTAGCAATACTTTTATTCTCTAATGACTTGAAAAAAGGAGAAATAGCTGGTAAAAATGTTTGAATTATACAATAATATTGATTAATATGGACTCAATATTTCATTTTGTATTCTCCATAACGAGGAAGCAAAGGCAACATAACTATCACGTCTTTAAATTATCTGGTCTTCTGTTCTAAGTGTTTTAAATATTGCTAAAGAAGTTTTTTAAAAGGCCCATGTGGTGGCCCATGCCTGTAATCCCAATTGGGAGACAGAAGCGAGTGGATCTCTTGAGCTCAGGAGTTTGGGACCAGCCAGGCAACATGGGGAAACCCCCGTCTCTACAAAAATTGGCCAGGAGTGGTGGTGTGCGTCTGTGGTCCCAGCGGCTCTAGAGGCTGAGGTACAGCTTGAGCCTGGGAGATGGAGGTTGCAAAGAGCCCAGATCATCTGCAATCCCAAACTCTGCCAAAAAAAAGAAAAAACCAAACCCTGAAATGTTTTCAAAGGGCAAATTTTCTATGCTGTTTCAACCACAGGTCCTGAACTGCTTTGTTTCTCTAAAAGTACTCTGCATTCATATCATCTTGCAGCCAATTCCACACTTGGTTGTAGAAAAAGAAATTGAGAAATAGGAAAACATTGTCTTCACTGACTTTCTTCCTTTCCTCTTCTATCAGCTCCACCTGGAGTCTTTCCTTTTTTGTTGTCGATGCCCATGTTGCTGAGTGTTCAGGAAATCAATTTATCTTAAGAAAAGAAAATGATTTTACCTGTGGTTGAAAACCTTAGTGTACCTGACTTCTTACTAACTTCCTTTCTTGGCTTGTAATATATTATTTCTTCATTTCATTACATTGAAATAATTCAGTACCTACTCCAATCTCATCACTACATTCATTCAAAGAGTCACATAAGCAACATTTTAAAGATACGGCCCCTGTTTTGCCAGACTGAATCTAATTGCAGAGGCAGGACAGACAATCACAAAGAGAGTGAATGACGCTACAAATTACTGTAGATTGAATAATGAGGTGACACGAAATGGGACAGTGAAATAAAAATGTCTTGGCTTTGGGAACCTGAATTCCAGTTGTAAATCTGAGACATGTTAGTTTTTTTATTATACAAATTGTATGAATTTTATAAAGTGCAGTGGTTAAGATCTGGGCTTGGAAATTATAGCTAATCTAAGTCTTGTCTCTACCATTTACCCTCTGTGTGACATTACACAAGTTGTATAATTTCTCTAAGCATCACTTTTGCATTTTCAGTAAAGGTTGTAAGAATAAAGATAAGCAATGAGCATGGTGTCTGGAACATTTTTTTCTATTTTTTAAAATATATCCTTGAACAAATCACTAGCTCTGTTCCTGCATACATTGGGAATTATATTAATATCCTATTCATTTGGCTGCTGTGAGTATCAAAGAGAATAGGAAGGGGGTTGGAGTTCACTGAGAACATTCTATGTGTAAGTACATGAATGCATGACCAAATGAAAACAGAGCTGAGTACACGGGCAAGTGCCTGTCGTCCCAGCTACTTGGTAGGCTAGGACAGCAGTCTCTCTTAAGTCACCAGTTGGAGTCCAGCGTGGGCAACATACTGAGACTCCCATCTCTTAAAAATAAATTAATAAAAACAAAAACAAAAAGAGAGGTAGAAAATGAGAATCAAACGTAAATATTTTAAACTATTAGATATTAAAAAGCTATTGAGAGGGATGAGAATAAGCTATTATTATTCCAGTGTTATGGAAATGGAAACTGATGCTTATAAAAATAGATAATTTGCTCAAGTTTACTCAGAAATAAGCAGATTCAATCTGGAAGTTGGCTATCTCTTAACAATGGTGAGAAACCTGAGGCACAGCATAGCCAAGGCTTAAGCCCACGTCTCTATGATCTTAATGTCCATGAGCTCATGGCCTCTCAAAAGGAACTGAATGAGGAAACTTCTTTCCTACACTAGACATAAGGGATATACAGCTGGGTAATTTTAATGAATGGGCAAATGTCTCACAGGGAGTACAGAAACCAAAGTTTGAAACAAGGTCTGCCTCGTCCAAAAGTCTGTCCTTATCCCTGCATTCCACTGCTTCGTTTATTTCGTGACAAACCCCTCACAGGTGAAACTTACTCCTCTTGGCTTCCTCTAGCTTGTCCTTGGCCCGTTTTTCTGCCTGAAGGAGCTGATGGATCCCCTGAGTCTGGCTGGTCATGGTAGCCTGCTCCAAGGAAGTGGCTCCTATGAAATCTGGGAAATAATGGGTTCACGTACCCTTTTAAAAACGTGTAACATATAACTCAGATTGCTGTGTCAACAGTGAGTTCTAAATGCAGCTGTTTGTTTCAGACTGGCTGGATTAGGCTGGATAGCTGGGTCCCAAGGAAAGCCCAAGGTGGAATCTAGAAAAACAAGTAAAACCAGTATGAAGAAATCGAAAACTTACCATTTCTGCCAGTGTTAGCTCTTCTGTATGAAATAAGGAGATATAAATGAGGTGTTGCCTCTACTTATAAATAATGAGTAAAAGTCCTTGTAGAATATTAGCTTCCCTATTCTTCCAAGAATTATTGACATGTTTACTGAATTTTTCTTTTAAGAAACAGTATCTTTCTTTGTTCTTTGTCCGTGCAATACTTTGTTTCAGGTCTTTTTAAAATATGTTTCTAGCGATACAGTTATCTGCTTAGAGAAAATGTATTAATCCTTTGCTAAGAAAGAGGTTCCCCAGCTTTGTGCATAGATGGTGGACTAAAGGCTTTTTTTCTCCCAAGGTCTCAGGTGACAGGAATGAAAAGATTCCTTTTGGGCACTGTGGTGCTCTTAAGTAATGCAGTAGGCTGAGGTTCCAGGGACATCTTAGTGTGGTGACTAAACAGTGAGTAATTTTAGTAGTAGTAAGCATAATATAGATTGATTATAACTGTGTGTTGGGGGTAAGATAAAATAATTTAAACATGCATTTTGTATTATTCAGTGCTTGTGTTGGGTATTGTTCTAAGATAGTACAATAAAATCCATCATACTTGATTTGATTCGATTCAGTAGCAATCGGACAAATGAGAATATTGGTCACAGAGAAGAATCATAAAGTATCGTTTATATGTATTTAAAATTTTTATTTGAAGTGAAAAGCTAATCTTTTGACTTAGAATAAAGCCTTTTCCTCTGACATGATTTGCAGATTGGAGTTTAACATATTACTGCTTTCATAAACTATACCTTTTTTGCCTCATCAGTAAGTGCCAGGTTCATTTTCTTTAATAAGGTGTTGAGATTTAAAGACAACTGTAAAACAATCTGGGAGCTAAATCTTTTATGGTTTTAATGATTATTTTCTCCTAATCTTTTCATCCATACCTACATGCCTATATTATGTGTGCATTACCTTCAGCAAATATTTCCAAAAGGAAAAAATTTTCCAAGTAAAAGGATCACTTTTACTTCTTTTGCAGTCACATTTAATCAGCTTACAAAGTACTTAATTTATAGTGCATAATTACAATAACTAGTGCAACTGGGATAAACCAATTTTTGGACAAGCACAACTCTTGTCTGATCGCTCTGGACAAAAAGATACAAAGTGGCTTAACAGGAAGAAGTCCTGGAGAGGAATAAGGCTTTGGGAAGAACCCAAAATGAAGAATTAGAATGAATTCCATCCTCTCCTGACCCTCAAAAATTTACTTTCTCAGTGAAAATGAGGGATAGAAAAATCTACCCAGAAGCAGAGAAAGATGCCAAAGAAGCTTCTCATGTCAATCTGGGCTCTGGGTGGGGGAAAAAAAGTAATCACGCTCCCAAACTTATGTGGGTTTAAACTGCCACAGCCTTCTGCAGATATAAAACCATACTCAACACACTCTTTTTTGTTTTATTTTGTTTTGTTTAATGTATTTTAATAGCAAACTTACAGGAACAGCACAGAAGACAGACAACATTAAAAACATGTACTTGCATGTAGGACAGCTCAGAAAAGCATAGTGAATGGATGGAATCTACTGTATGATAAAATGCTACAAACACCATTTAGTTGCCGTCAATAAGAAATTTACTTGTTTTAAAAAAATCCAAATGCTGGCATTGTCCAGAAAAATTTAACAGGTTTATTTATAATTATTATAAAGTTGAACCGCTGAAACTTGTTCACTGAAGCATTTTAACTTGCATTAATGCTTTACATCTCCGCATTTATATTAAAAATTCACACACAAATGAAAATGGAAAAACTGCCAATACCTGATTTCTGTCCCCTATTTTTCCACTTGCAATCATATACTTAGGTACCTTTTGACCCCATGGAAAAAAAATTATCTAACATTCAGAACTACCAGTAACAGGAAGAAGAGAATTTTTTTTTTTTTTTGAGAATGAAATGTTTCCCATCATAGTGGATGCTTAAGCACAATCTCCACGTATGCGGCTGGATGTCTTTTGGCATAATTGTTACACGTTTGGCATGGATAGCACAAAGGTTGGTGTCTTCAAAAAGGCCAACCAGCTAGGCCTCACTTGCCTCCTGCAAAGCACCGATAGCCGCACTCTGGAAGCGCAGATCTGTTTTAAAGTCCTGAGCAATTTCTCACACCAGACGCTGGAAGGGAAGTTTGTGAATCAGAAGTTCAGTGGGCTTCTGATAACGTCTAATCTCACGGAGTGCCACAGTACCAGGCCTGTAACAATGAGGCTTCTTCACCCCTCCAGTAGAGGGCGCACTCTTGCGAGCGGCTTTTGTAGCCCGTTGCCTCCTGGGTGCTTTACCACCTGCCGGCAGTCTGCTTTGTTCGAGCCATGGTGTAGAGACCTCCTTACTTACCCCCTTCTCCTTCGGCTGGAGCTCGGCGAGCGAGAGGCGGCGATGGCGTTGGAGAGCTGAACACACTCTTACAATCTAAATGGCAAAACAAATGAAAAAGTGAAGTTGAGGAGAGGTATACAGTGTAGCAGTAGGTAGAGGTAAAAGCCTGGCTGGAGAATTTAAGCTTTATTATAGATCCATGGACAATTATCATACAAATGGTTTACTTGCTATAAGAATTATTCTTTTGTTTTGATCAAAGCTGATTCCTAATGTGACTTTTCGCTTACAAACTCAAACATTTTAAGGGTAATATCATTTCAAAAACTTCTACTTATAGCAAAGATTCTGAGTTTATTCTTTAAATGTTTTATATTACTGAGCATCAGTAAGAGAGGCTTTTCTTTTTTTATTCACTAATGAAATATCTAGGTGCTAGAAACTGGGTACGATATTTTACAATTATGTATATTTCCATATTTAATTTGGTTCTCACATGGTTGTTATTATTATGAAGCACACCAATCTTATCAGTAAAGAAACTAAAGTTCCTGTAAAATAAGCAAGATGAGTGGTTAGGGAACTGCGGCTCAGAAAACCTGAGTGACACGCCCAAGGTCAGGTGGCTTCTAAGTAGAAGAATTGAATTGGTCTCAGGGTCACTGTTCTGGCTGCTGAACAATGCTGTCTCTCATTCCAGGAAAATTTTCTTGCAGTTTCTCTTCTTTTTCTGATTAAAAATATGGAAGAAAACAAAGAATATCCATTGACATTTCACTCTGTGTAAAAATATTAGATCTACAAATCACTTTAAACGCTGTGTGCTTGAATAATTAATAGTAAAAATATCAAAACAAAGTGAAATTTGACTTAACCTAAGTCTCCTTGACTTTTGAAAATTCCTGAAGAATTAACATTTCAAACAGCAAGGGTTTTTCCTATCCCATTTATTTTGTATTATTTGTTTTGGTCTTACTATTTATTATAGTCTACTTTATTTTTTATATTTATATACCTAGAAATTAAAACAAATAATATGATTGCCTTCTAATTTGAGCACTGTAAGTCATTTTTTTGTTTCTCTGTTAATGGAATATCAATGTTGATGGTTTCTATGTGTAGTAGATAAACGTGATTTATCAATATTGTTGTTTATTATTGGTGTTATGATTTCAGTTTCAATGATAAACTGAGAATTAAGATATACTTTTTAATAAAAATCTCACAATGTACAGAGGAATTGTTTTTTCAGATAAGATAGAGAAATGGATGTTAGTCACAGTAGCTGTATAAAAAAGGAAGTATAAGACACAGTATAGTATATATTTAGGTCACTGCTCTTTGATTCTCTTTCTTAAATTCTTTCATATTTTGTTTTTATCAGTGAAAGTGTAAAAAAGTTACTAACAATGATAAAATCCTAAAAAACACAATCTGTGCTTTTTGGAAAAATTTTGAATGTTGAATGTTGAAAGATCATAGTGAAATATACCTCTTATTTTTGCATGTCCTTAACTTGATAACTTATCCTCAAATGTTTTGAATAGCTGTAATTATACATTTAGCATATGTTCAGTATATATCTTTTGGATTTCTCTTTTTTTAAGTTTCATTTCTGCTCAGACTTCGTCTTACTATTTATTCTGTCATTGCTCCTGTATATTTCAGTTCATCATATGATCCTTCCTTCTTTTGCTCACATTGGTTCAGCATTTGAGTCTGAATAATAGTGAAAAGTAGATGAAATCCTGGTTTTCTAAAGGCCTGGAACTTCTAGGTATCTCAAAACTGCTAAATTCAATCTTTAAACAAAACCCAAAGGCTTGGTCTGGGTGTGTCTACAGAACATGGTATCCTTCTTCATTTTACTTACTCATTTTAGCTGAGCAGTAATATATAAAAGAAGTATACATCAAATATTAAACATTTCAAATTTTCTCATCTCATTTTAAATTTTCTTATACATAAAATAAATGCACATCAAATATCGAACATTTATTTTCTTTCATTTCCATTTGAAGTAAAGAAATGACTCTCCTTCTTTTTGCCTCTCATCCTCTGATTTTCTCCCTGTGTTCCTCCAGCTCATTCACCATACTCTTTATTGTCCCTTCGATATCAGAAACATGTCTCTGTGCCTTTCGTCAGACTCTTCCTTATCGCTGGGACACCTGTCTGACTCTTGCTTGCCTCGAAAATAAATCATTCAAAATCCATTTCCAATGTCTACTTGAAAGGATGAAACTTTCCAGATCCTCTTAGACTGATCAATTCCTTCTTTCTCTTATACATCTCAAAACTCTTTATGTATACCTGTCATAGGGCATTTCTCAAGCATCACTTGTGCTTCTTAACCATAAACTATGAGTTATTTGAGGATAAATATTGTGCTTTGCTTGTGGTTGTCTCTGGAACAGTGCCTTGCACACAGAGGGCAACAAA